TATACATGATTACTTAATCTAAATAATGCTTATGCGTGAATGTCATGAAAAATTATGAAAATATTGAATGTTATGAGATACATTTTAGACTAAATGCTCAAATGAAATAATGATGTTACTTTGAATTATGCAAGAGAGAACTTTATTCATTTTCTTTAAGAAACAAGTGTCAATGATGATGATCATTGCAATCTTTTAAAGTTGTATGAATGATTTCATAGAGTATTATTTTTATGCAAAGATGTAAGATGCATATCATGAATGAATTATGAAATGTAGATGAATGCATGCATGAATAGTTTTTTTGTGATGCGTGTTATATTGAAGAGGCGTGAGATATGATAAAAGTTAAAAGATAAATGTATGATGTGTATTATGGAATAGAATAAAAATTTCTTAAATTTCTTTTTTTGCGTCATTCGAACATAGAGGCAAAATTTTCTCGTGTGATACTTAATAAGGGCATTCCTAAGTTGAGAACTCTATAGACTACTAATATGTGTTCCTCTCAAAAGGGTGGGACTATAGTTCTAAAACAGGTTCCTAGAGTCAATAACCCATTTTAGGATATTAGTCACAATAATAGGTAAACTATTAGAGGTGATAATACCCTTTAAAGGATCAAACTGTAGGTGAGACCTTCATAATAACCAAACAAGATGTTCATCAAGAAGGTTACTACTACTCAACCTCTTACTATCCTAAGTTACACTCAAGTCCGGGCATAGGACCCCGCTCATAAACGTGTGTGAAATTGTGTAAGTGAAGTGTGTGAAGGGAGCAACCCTACACTACCCAATCTACAAAACACAACACATATGATATGAAAAATAAAATTCATCTATCCTAAGGTTCAAATTACACAACACATTTATAGAATTCATGCAAATAAGATAAACAACAAATAAGAGACATAAACAAAAATAATAATAATAAAATAAAATAAAAGTGAGATAAACATTTTTAAAAATTATTAATTAGTTTAATTAATTATTATAGGCTTGACTCTCAAAAATATCCCCAGCGGAGTCGCCATCTGTAGCAACCTCGATCGCGACGGGACGGCGAAAAATAAATTGAAAAAGAGGAGTCGCCACCAATGTTATTTTTTTACGGAAAAACATTGGAAAAATCATAAAATAGAAAATAGTCTACGAAAACCAAATTTTTGGGTTCGGGAGTCGATTACGTGTGAGGAAGGTATTAGCACCTCACAACGTTCGTCCTAAGATGATTACCTTTAATTAATTAAACTAATTATTAATAATTTATAAAATATTTATCTCACTAAAATGATCAAATATATTTTATTTAACTAAACTATCATTGTATATATATATATATATATATATATATATATATATAAGAGTTAAAATTATTATTGTTATATAAAAAGGAAAATAATATTTTTTATTTTTTGGCTCGACAAGATTTATTTCTTACTCCTACGTATCTTCATGTGTAATGAAGAATCAGAGTCACGTAGTTCTTTGTAGAAAATGTTTGTGTGTTGATATTTTTTAATTAAATTTTTTTTTTTGTTAAATATAGGATTCTTGAACTGTCTCAGCTCATTCACCCTAAAAATATAAAATTGACTAAGGTGTACACCAAAGTCAATTCAATAAAATTTTAATTATAATTATTGCTAGAGATGTTATGATATTAAAAAATTTATTAATTGGACATTTTCGTTTTTGGAGAAAAAATTTAAAGATAAGCTGTCACAACTTGTACTTTAAATTCAAAGGTTAAAAAGATGTCACATCTAGTTAACCATTCCTCCAATAAAATTTTTAATACAATGATTTCAGATATTTACATTAAATATTGTAACATTATATTTTGATATTTAATCACATTTTGGATTTAAATAAAGACTAATGACATATATTATTAATATAAAAAATAATAATAATAAAAAGAAGTGAGTTCGATGTACTCATTATTCTTCGCCCAAGAAGTGGTAACTCGCTGGTCTCTTCCTCCGGGTTCCCTCTGGTCCAAGATAGAGATGTGTGTGTGTGGGTGCCTTTTGGGAAGGCAAGGGCCGCTATTTATAGACTTTCAGGAGGGACTAGAACGGCCCATTCCGGGGTTGCAATTTTACTCACAACGGCCAATTTCGGAACGGTCTGTTCCAGTTTTGGAACGGCCCGTTCTAGACTAAAAAGTATAGGTCTTTTTGAAGGTTGGAACGGCCCGTTCTAGTTTGGGAACGGGCCGTTCCAGTTTTTGGGAACAGCGCGTTCTGGGCTAGAATTTATAAGTCTTTTTGGAAGGTTGAAACGACCCGTTCCAGTTTGGGAACGGCCCGTTCCGGGATAGAAACTTTAGATCTTTTTTGAAGGTTAGAACGACCCGTTCCAGTTTTGGAACAGCCCGTTCTGGACTAGAAATTATAGTTGTTTTTGGAAGGTTGGAACGGCCCGTTCCAGTTTTGGAACAGCCCGTTCCGGACTAGAAATTATAAGTCTTTTTGGAAGGTTAGAACGGCTCGTTCCAGTTTGGGAACGACCCGTTCCAGTTGTTAAAATCATATGAAAATTATTAAATTACCCCTCCACAAAAGTATGAAAATTGAGGTGTTACAGTTGACTTTTATATTTTTGTCTTTTTTATTCTTTCTTGTACATACTTTTTTTTGTTATTTTTTTTTAACAAAATTGACATTTTCCGGACGAAATTGGATTACTACACCTCTCATGATGGTATACTTGAAAGATAAGATGTTATGCGTCAAATCATGTTACACCTTGTGAGGAACAGACAAAACAAGACCAAGTGTTGTGATATTGAGGTACGTGAGCTATATCTGAGTGTGGTCGAACAAAGTTAGATTTGGCAGATGCATGCAGTAGCAACTGGCAACTTATCAACTCCATCATGTGGTACTTGCTGTTGCTAAGGACAAAACCAAAGGTACCATTGTTTTGATGATGTTAAGCAGCACGCACAGCGAGTGAGGCTTGTTTGGAGACACATTTTGGCGTGATTGAGAGGAAGTTCACAAGCTACTTCCATTATCAATATATAATGTTCTTACATATCTAGAATGGGATTTTTGTCGTCTCTTGTAATTTTAGCAAGTCTTTTTGAAGATGTATGTACGATGATCATAAAAGGAAATTACAATTTCACCTGGGTAAGTGTCAATTACCAGCCTTTTATCGTTTTTGTAATTTTTGAATGATTATAATTAGAGTTAATTACCTATATACTGCCAGTCTATAATTTTTTTACACAAACAACTAATCATATATTTTAATTGTGTCATGTCATTTACTTATTTAATTAAATAAAAATAAAATAAAATAATTTAAAAAATATGATTAGTTGTTAATATAAAAAATTTTACACTAATTGTGTATGGATGATTAACCTTATAATTATTACCGGACTTTGGTTTTGGTTTTGTCCATAATGGCTACCATCAACTGGAGCTGAGGAATAAAGTTTAATGGGCCTGCCGATGGACACTAGGAAAGATGTCGACCATGTTCAAAGCAAAACAGGCCTACACACAAGCCCAATGAATTCTTTCTCTTGATGGGCCTTAGGTTTCGAAAGTTCAAACACATCCTGCTATTGCATATACGCATATTGTTTTCTTGGGCTAAATTACAGAGAATATAGGACTGCCAAAATAGAAAGACGATTGAAGATCCAAACATAAGCATGCATTGTTGAATAACAAGTCTTTCTGTAATATTTTAATTCTGATGTGTGAATTATTATGTTAACAATTAAGATAACCGTAGATGAATGTTTTATACACGACAAATTATCATGATTTATGATAATCATAAATTCTGATTATAAATACTAGAATGGTAGAGGTACTTTGTGCCTTAATAGTTATTCACTAATAAAATATTAAAAAATTATCTATAATTATTTAAAGAAAATTTAAGATTTTTTTTACATTTGGAGATATAATGGTCCATTAAAAAATGGAGACCAAAAAACAATTACATCTTCTATATCCCCTTTATAATAGTTATAGATTTCTGGAAATGTTTTTAAATATTAGATAAGAATCATATTACATTAAATAAACAAATAAAAATTATACAACATTTTTATCATATTAAAATTTTAGTTTTATCTTTGAAAAGTTAGTTTCTCACAAACTTTCCTATAGATTTAATTTTATAAAAAATTTATGTAAAAATCATTCTTAAAAAAAATAATTTTAAAAAATATTATTTTTTAAACAAGTCAAACGGAAAAAACCTAACATTCTCCAAATATTAGTAAAATCTTTTTTATACCAAACACCCTCAAAATTCAATATTTCAATTCCTCATCTTTTCATAATACACTCACATAAAAAAAATTCATATTGTTTTTATTTTCTCAAATAAATAAAAGGTCAATGGTTACATTTGATAATATTAGCTACTCATAAAAATAAGTTTCTCTTGCATAATTATACTAGTTGTTAATATAATATATTTTTTCTAACTCGTTAATAAATATTTTCACAAACACCCAGTTGATTTATTTTAATAATATAAGCAATAATTTTTTAATGTTACAAAATCTCTACACTTTCCAATTATTTAATTATTCATCATTTTACCTTTTAATAACATATTAACATATGCTCTAATCAAATAGAATTTAAAGCAACTTTAGTTTATATGCGAGGCCTAAACCTAATTACTTTCAAATACATGGAAGTAATCTGTTTAAGCAAAACATGTGGCTTGGAGCAAGAGTAAGATTTCCTATTCTTACATGAAACGTGTGTATGTAAAGTAAAGTTATGCAAATCCCCGTTTCTAGCCATTGCGTCTCAGCAAAATATTCCCTCTGCCACCGAACTTCACTCTTGAACCAACAAGTTAATAGTTGAAATCCCACGCGTTTTCTCTCTTATCTTCCTGAAGCTGGTGCATTCGTAAGTGTCACGTATGCTTTTTCTTTTATATATATATAACAGATTCATAAAGTTAATATACATACATATTATAAAGAAAAAAAGCACACCGCCTATAACCGTTTTTCTAACTTACTTTCAGTTCTGATGAAACCAAGTACCACAAATTAAGTTAAAAGTTGATTCATAAAGTTTTCAGTGAATGTTTCTTGCAAGTCATGACAACACTCCCTTCCCTCTCTTTGGCTCCACTCACATTAGCCTGCATAATAGTAAGATAAATGCAAATTTAACAAACCTATGCTCCAAAACAAAAAGCTGATCAAAGCCGAATAGGAAAGGAAGTTGAAAGTTCTATAGTCCATGATCATGAACAATCATGAAGAACAGAAGCTACCTCTCCTTCACAACATGGAGGTTCCAGATTCTAAGAGAAGCCTCATTAAGAGAGCCATAAGTCAAACATTTCAAAGCACAGCTCATTTGGCCAACCTCTTACCAACTGGCACTGTCCTTTCTTTCCAACTTATGTCCCCAATAGTCACAAACCAAGGCAAGTGTGACTCAGTTAGCAAGTTGATGACTTCTACACTTGTGGCTCTTTGTGCTGCCTCTTGTTTCTTCCAATGCTTCACTGATAGCTTCAGAGATTACAAGGGGAATGTTTGTCATGGCCTTGCCACCTTGAGGGGCTTGTGGGTCATTGATGGATCCACCACCCTTCCACCTCAACTTGGTGCAAGATATAGGTTGAGGTTCATTGATTTCATGCATGCAGTGATGTCAATTTTAGTCTTTTCAGCTGTTGCATTGTTTGATCAGAATGTGCTCAATTGCTTCTTTCCATCACCTTCAAATGAGACACGGGAAATTCTAACAGTGTTGCCTGTGGCCATTGGGATTTTTTGCAGCATGCTGTTCGTAGCGTTTCCCACTCGGAGACATGGAATTGGGTTCCCACTTTCAGCAAAGTAAATTATGTTGGACCGTTTCCAATGTCAGATTGTGTCATCAATTCAATTCGATCATTGTCTCTAACATTATACAGGAATTCAATTGAATTTCATTGTTCTGATAGCACATGAATAAAGTATTTGTTTACCAAGGGATAAATATGTCAGTCTATGCATGGAATTTGAAGAGGGGATCAGATTCAATTTTCAACGCGGACTCATCAAACGACTAGATAAATAAATACATGGTTCTTTATTTTTTTGTGCATTGATTCTATTGGGTTGACTATATTTAAGGCGCCGGTTCAATGTTCATAACAAGCCGGTTTCTGAAGCTTCTAACAACAAATATATTATTCTACTAGTTTGTTGGAAATTATATATGGTCATATAGATCCCTTTGCATGATATATGACAAATTAAAGATTCACGAATCACGGTCATAAATTCCTCTAAATAAAATGAAAATCCATGCTCTTGTATATATATATATACATAATTTTAGCACAGATGGGATTTACAGCTAATTTATTATTCTCATCAGAATATTTCACCATTACCTTTCATTCAAAACCCAAACAGAGAATTATCAAAAGATAAGTAATTTTTTTACCTATCCTCAGCGTGGTTTTCTTCCCTTAGTATTTGCTTTAACTTCTGGAATAATGATTCTTTCTGATTCTGTACACACCATAATGTTAGTTTTGTATCTGTTTTTCTGATTACTGAACTTGTTTAATTATTAGATGACATTTTATGGTCCTTGTTAAATAAAAGGGATTGCTCTGAGTTCGAGGACAGGCAACCTCCTATAGAAATTAGCAAGAAAGGAAATGAGGGTAAACTATTCTCCCCTTTTTCATTCCACCGCAACAGATATATAACAGAAAGGATTCTATCAATCAACCTGCAAGATCCATGACCTCACTACGGACAAACAACCAAAACTAACTTGCTTCTAGAATATGATGACATAGCAAAACTATTTAACAAATAAAGCATTTACTAATAATAGATAAATCCTGGAATTCCCTTAGTTTTGTGGATCTGTCTTTTGGGCCTGATATCCTCACTTGCTTCAGCTGCTGTCTCTGGACTTTCTTCAATAGTAATTGGGCCTTGATAGGTAAGATAGGAGTAGTTGATGAATACTTGCATTTGGGTAGGAGAGGGAAGGGGAAATGGAGGGGGCAGGAGAGGAAGATGAAACCTGCAGAGAGAAGAATTGAGCCTCATGGTCAGAGCGAAGAACACGTTTTAGTTGGTGGAAAAAGATGGAAGAGGGTTGCTGCCCCGAATTCCCTTTCAACTCAATCAACTGTTGGTGATAATAGAACTTCATAGTGAGGTTCTGGTAGTCCATCAAAACTGGGCCCAAATCTTTTAGCCACTAGGCCCCAAGCACAATATCAGATCCACCACCCATGTCAAGGATATACAAGTCAACAATGAACTCATGCCCCTGAATGATTAAAGCTAACCTAGGACAAAATTGATCACATGCTAATTTCTCCCCACTACCAACAAGGACCTTCAGAGGAGCAAGATAAGGTTGGAGCTTAACATAAACCCAGGATCCCACCTCAAAAATGAGTTCCCTGCGCTTCAAGTCCGCATTCTTTTTCATTCGTTTTTGGGCTTTCAACAGATTCTACCGCAGTAATGAAAGCACGTCCTCACGTGAGGAGAGTAAGGAATCACAACCAGCAACCTGAGATGTGCCAGCCAAATGCTCAGGGATGGAAGGAGGTGGTTTGCCAAATATGATTTGGAATGGAGGGAGCTTTGAACCGGAGTGGACGGAGGTGTTGTAATGGAACTCAGCCCAAGGGAGGAATTTGAACCAATGCTGCGGTGTCTCATGAACAAAGGCCCTGAGGTACTGCTCAATTGTGCGATTCATAACCTCAGTTTGACCATCGGACTGAGGATGGTAAGAGGAACTCATGCGGAGAAGGGTGCCACTGAACTTGAACAAGTCTGACCAGAATCTGCTCATAAAAATCAGATCACGATCCGAAACAATGCTCTTGGGCAACCCATGATGTTTACAAAACATAGAAACAAAGAGCTCAGCCACCTTATAAGCAGTGAAACTTGAAGGCAGAGCACCCAAATGCACCCCTTTTGAGAATCGATCCACGACCACAAAGATAACAGTATATCCAAGAGAAAGAGGTAACCCAGTAATAAAATCCATAGAAATGTCTTCCCACACATGTGAAGGGATAGGAAGGGGAACGAGGAGACCTCCGAGGCGCTTGGTACTGTATTTTGTTTGTTGGCAGACCCTACACTGAGAGATAAAGGAGCGAACATCCTTTGCCATGTTGCTCCAATAAAAATTGGCAGAGAGACGTTTAAGGGTCTTGTTCATACCTGCATGACCCCCAACAGCAGATTCATGGAACTCCCTTAAAAGTAAGGTGATGAAGGTAGAAGAGGAGCTCAACCAAATCTTACCCTTAAATAAGATGAGATCGTCCAATACCTTGAAGTGAGGCATTGAAGCGGGGTTATCGAGACACCTCTGCCGTAAGGCGAGAAACTCACTATCCTGTAACAAGGATTGCTTCAAGTCATCTAAGAAGACAAATTGAGGCACAGTGAGTACCTGCAAAAATGTGATATCCATGTAGAGCAAACAAAAGCATTTCGTGTCAATCCTTATAAGTGACCATCATCTTTTGAATAATCTTTTTAATATTCTTGTTTGCTGCTTCTATTGCCCCATTCATCTTAAGACGACATGGTGAAGAATTATGATGTTGAATTTTGAACTCTTCACACAACTCTTTCATCATCTTGTTACTTGATACGATTGGGTAACCCATATCTGCATATTAAATCTCTTTTAATGAATTTGACCACCACGTTTCTAGTCACACTGGCATAAGAAGCTACCTTAACCAATGACATCAAGGATAAAACAATGCCTTTTTGTTGCCTTTGGTTCATTTCTCTTCTTTTCCTTTTTCATTGTTTTTTGGTATCATGAACAAACTGAATTAAATGTGAACACTGTGTTGCCCTTATTTTGAGGGTGAGCCTTGTTTGAGGTAATTGAAGAAAATTTTCACTTTTAAGCTCAAATTTAGGTGGCAAGTGATATATATATTTTGGAGATAGAGAAACATGGTCATATATCATTTCAAATCTTGACTGCTTATTTTTTAAAGGTTAATCCTAAGACAAAACTTAATGGACTCCATGTTACTCCATTTTTTTTATCTTTTCTTTTTTGTTTGTCCTAACTTTTGCTTAGACCGCCCTTTTGGGTTTTCAGTCTAACAGACTTTACATTTTTTCACTTTTTTTTTGCTCATAAGACTTGTCTCCATTAAATGTGGTAGATGGTTGGACAAATACTCATAAAATGATAAATTTTCCCTGATAAGAAATCTTCAAATTTCTATTGCTAAACTTTCTAATTGAGAATCATCCATCAGATTTGACTTTTTATGAAGACAAACTCTTTATTTTTGGAAGAATAATGAGGAAACTATGAGATGTAATGGGACAAAGACAATTTATGACAATGAAGATAACAACACAACTTGTTATGCAAGTTAATGAAATAAGTACTTCAAAAGGTTAACAATAGTTTCAAAACCATGTCAATTGACAAGTTAATTTGTCAAAGAGCTCATCTTCTTGATTGAGAATTAAATGTATGTGAGAACAATAATTTCACTTTATTCCTCACTTTTCTTTGTTTCCTGTTTTTTTCTTTTTCTTTTGAGACATTGCATAATTTTGTTGCTTGGCATCCTCTTTAAAAGAAAATAATCAAATTAGATAGTTATTTTTTTTTGTAAATGACATGAATGAGCAATCAATTAGACCTTTATTTTACTATAAAATGCACGTATAAAAGAAAAATGTTAGAATGAGAATTTGAAATGAAAAAAATGTTTTTTGTTTTTTTTTTATTTTGATTTTTTTTATAGAGAAACAAATGCATTTTGATTCGCGATAATAAAGTGAGAATGAATGCAATTATGGAGAATGACAAGAAAAGACGATGGATATGCCTAATGAATATACCTAACATGACTTAATCTAAATAATGTTTATGCGTGAATGTCATGAAAAAATTATGAAAATATTGAATGTTATGAGATACATTTTAGACTAAATGTTCAAATGGAATAATGATCTTACTTTGAATTATGCAAGAGAGAACTTTATTCATTTTCTTTAAGAAACAAGTGTCAATGATGATGACAATTGCAATCTTTTAAAGTTGTATGAATGATTTCATAGAGTATTATTTTTTATGCAAAGATGTAAAATGCATATCATGAATGAATTATGAAATGTAGATGAATGCATGCATGCATGAATAGTTTCGTGTCAATCCTTATAAGTGACCATCATCTTTTGAATAATCTTTTTAATATTCTTGTTTGCTGCTTCTATTGCCCCATTCATCTTAAGACGACATGGTGAAGAATTATGATGTTGAATTTTGAACTCTTCACACAACTCTTTCATCATCTTGTTACTTGATAAGATTATCCTCGTCAGCGATCAAAAGAAAATAACGAGCAGGACAACGATGAGTACGTGAAAACTTCTGATCGCAGTTGAAGCATAACCCCTTTTCACGCTTGTCCGCCATCTCTACCTATGTTAGTTGCTTGAAACGTGTTTTTGGTGGAGGAGGGGGCAACAGAGGAGGAAGAGATTTTGGTGGTGGTGACGGAGAAGGAGGAGAGAAAGTGCGTGAAATCGGCGGAGCTGACCACCGCGGGGATGGAGAGGGTCGATGGGTGCGGGAGCTGTCAAAAAGCTTTTCCTCATGCAACCGTGCATAACCAACCGCTTGAGACAGTGAACTGGGTTGGTGTGCAATGACGTCACGGCGGAGCTCCGGTTTCAAGCCCGAGATGAAGCAACTCAAGAGGAAGGAGGGTTGCAATCCCACAATCCGATTTGCCAAGGACTCAAACTCAGTCAGGTAAGAAGTCACCGAAGAGGATTGAGTGAGTTTGAAAAGCTTACCACGTGGGTCGTCGAATGCTGTGGGTGCAAAACGGTTCTCCAGGGCCTGCACCATCTGATTCCAAGAGTGGATCTGACCGTTACGGTACATCCATTAAAACCACACAAGGGCCGGACCATCCAAATAGAAAGAAGCGACCGTGATATGTTCCTCCTCCGGCGTATTATGATACTTAAAGAACTGAGTGATTTTGAAAATCCAGCCTAAAGCGTCGGAGCTGTCGAAACGAGGGACGTCAAGCTTGAGGAAGTGAAATTGGGAAGAAGAGGAGTCAAGATTGTTGGTTGGAAGCGGAGAGGGAGAAGAAGTGGGGTTGTGGTGTTCCAAGGCGGAAAGACGAAGACCCACCTCATGGAATTGGGTGGTAACAGAGTCCTGAAAAAAGAGAGTCTGGAGAGCATCTCATCCATTTTCTCAGACTGCGTTTTACGAGGACCGTCGGCCATGAGGAGAGACGGCAATGAAAGCACCAGTGTTAAATAAAAGGGATTGCTCTGAGTTCGAGGACAGGCAACCTCCTATAGAAATTAGCAAGAAAGGAAATGAGGGTAAACTATTCTCCCCTTTTTCATTCCACCGCAACAGATATATAACAGAAAGGATTCTATCAATCAACCTGCAAGATCCATGACCTCACTACGGACAAACAACCAAAACTAACTTGCTTCTAGAATATGATGACATAGCAAAACTATTTAACAAATAAAGCATTTACTAATAATAGATAAATCCTGGAATTCCCTTAGTTTTGTGGATCTGTCTTTTGGGCCTGATATCCTCACTTGCTTCAGCTGCTGTCTCTGGACTTTCTTCAATAGTAATTGGGCCTTGATATGTAACAGTCCTAGTTTTGTAATGATAGTAGACATTACAATCTGGTGATTACCTTTTGTATGGACTACGTTAGATTTTGTTTAGATGACTTTGTATTTTGTAATGGGTTAGAATACCACTTTTACTCTCCTAAATTTATTTTGCTTATAAAAAAAATGATGAAAATACATGTGATTTGTGAACAAACCTAAGAATCCCATTAGCTGTCACAAAAGTTTATACATAGTACGTACAAGCTTATAAAAGTGAAGTCAACTAATTCAACAGCCATTTTCTTTGTTAGTCTTTACCAAAATTGCATCAGCTTGAGAGAAAATTTTATACGTGTCTCACGAACAAATCTCTTTTTATTTGAAAGTCTCCTATAACTTATGAAAGATAATACAGTACAACACAAATACAATGAGCATTTTAACTTGAGAAATGTCACCAATAATCTCAGAGTTGCATGCTCCTAATTTCACCAGCCACCTATATCACTCGAGTTATATCCGAGTACCTCAACTACAATTTAATTTTAGTTCAGCACAAACAAAACCGCTTAATAAATTCTAACAGGGCTTAAGGATAAAGCTCAATAAGTGACCTAAAACCGAATGTAGGAAATATCTTGTAATATTTGAAGCCCGCATCCATAAAAAGACGCTTCCAATCCTTTTCATCTCTCTCTTTTCCATTGAGACTGGTCATCATAATTACGTCACATAAAAGTTTTACTTCTGTCATTTCATGTTCATCTTGCTTCTCATTTATAACAATATCTATTATGATCACCTTTCCTCCTTTTCCTCTGCCTGAAATAGCATCTTTACAATTTTTGAGTATTTTTATGCAATCATCATCACCCCAATTGTGTAACACCCACTGCAAAAATAACAATAGTAAAAATAACAATTTTTGAGTATTTTTATTTGCTGAATTAAGAAATGCACCTGTATATGAAAGTATTGTAAGAATTAAGACCTACCCAAGTATAGTAATGTTAGCCACACTCCTTTTAATATTAATTTATTGAAAATCACAAATTTTATGGATCTCACATTTTATTTAATAAATCTAATTTAATCAATAGTAAAAAGGGTGTTTCTATAAAATTTTAACCAATAATAAAAAAAGTATTATTATAAAAAAGAATATTAAAAAAAGTGTCGACATTTCTCAATAATAGAAAGGGTATTACTATAAAAGTTTAACCAATAATAAAAAAGATATTAGTATAAAAAAGAGTGTTAGAAAGAGATTTCTCATACATGTATTAGATAAAATTAAGAGAAAACATGCCACCATAATTCTTCATTTATAGTTATTACCTTCAGTAAAATTGCATCAGCTTGAGGGATGGATTTGAGCATGTTCCCGCTAACAAAACTGAGATTTTTGTTTCCTGTTAAGCCATCAACAACCTGTGGAAGGTCCAAGACTATGTATTTCAAGTTAGGAAAGGCCTCACAAATAATCTTAGCTGTGTTTCCAGTTCCACCGCCAACATCAACTATGGAATCCAGCCCTTCAAAAACAGATTTACAATCTCTCAAAGCCAACCTCATCACATGAGAATCACTCTCCATCGCCTCATTGAAGGCCTGCATATGAGTGGGAGTTTGATGAACAAAATCCCAATAGCCCCTTGGACCCAATGCAGTCTCAATAATTGTGCGGTCCTCTCCACAAGTCCATTTCCCCAACTGATGGTACACACCAACAAGAGTAGGGTCGTTTAGGAACCCAACCATTGCAGATAAACAATGGTCAGTGCCACTCACAAGGAGTTGTGAGGTTGGAGTAAGAGCATATGCTTCTTCCTTGCTCTCATAAACTTTTATGATTGCAAAGAAACCATTGTGTGCCAATAAACGCATGAGGCGTTGGACACATGTAGCTTTAGCTTGTGGAACCTCAAGAGCTGATACAAGGTCAGAAAGAGTAATGGGTTGGCCATGGTTGTGGATTACATTAGGTATGCCAAGTTCAACGGCCCACTTGATTGACATGGGATTCAGGAAGCTATACATCACTCTGTATAACTGAGCTTGAGCTTGGAACAGCTCGGTTGCACTGTCTCCACTCATGAAAGCCATTGAAATGAGAATGCTAATGCTGATTGAGCTTTGTTTGTGTTTGGAACTTGTCACTTGCTATGTTGCTCTCGACTCAACTTTGGTTCTTTATATACTGATTGATCGGCATCCATTACAGTAAATTGCTGAACTAATATTTGTTGAGACTTACCTGATTCTTATTGTTTCAGATAAATGTTAGTAACACGTGCCTCACATTCCTTTAATAATTGTTGACTTACCTGATTATTATTGTTCAGATAAATGTTAGTAACATGTGTCTCACATTCAGGGACGGATGCACGTATATGTGGGGCAAATGCCAAACTAAATTTTCATATCAATTATATATATATATATATATATATATATATATATATATATATATATA